GATGTTTTGTCTATTGAATTTATGCTTTTTCTCCTCTTAGAAATTTTAACTGCACTTTTCTACGCATCAAACTTGTATTTTTAGATTTATATGTACTCAGGACTGTTTGTTGTATCATCTCAGCGCCAGTGTGACCTTTTGATGTTCCCATTGTTGGATTTTGTCTTGATGTCGTAGTTGAGATGCTCACCCAGCACTTCAGGAAGGCCGCACTCACGTCTTTCACTGGGAAGGCATCCTTTCTTTCCCTACCTTCATCCGTGGCAGGTGTTAATGCCTATGTACTGTAGCTTCCCAGCTTTTCTCACAGCTAGGGATGTTCCTGGGCCTGAAGTCTGGCACTGTTTTATTAGACACATTTGCCCTGTGTAGCCCAGATTGGTCAAGCCTACAATCTCCCTGCCCCAATTTCCTAAGAGCTGGGATTACTTATAAGCGTGTGCAAGGACATCTGTCTAGTTCCCAAACTTTTAATCTGTGGTTGACTGCTGTCTGTCATATTCCCGTCACAGCCTCTTTTAATGGAGTGACTCCAGACAGCATCCCAATTGGCAACTTTGACTTAACATTTCCTACACAGTCACACTTCATTCTTCCTGTTGGAGTCATCCTGGGACTCCGCTTTCTTTGAGGAAAGAGTTGGTCCATCTCCTGCACCAGATGGATGTACAGACAGTTAGGGGAACGTATAGGCAGTTTCTTTTTATATTCACCATGCACTGTAAAGAATGAAGCCTTCTGTGTGGGTCACTCAGCCCAAATGCAAGGAAGCCCCGGGTTGAAAAAGTGATGGCTGGTCTCATCCTTCCTGCCGATTCTCTTGCATCCCCGTCTACCCACAAACATGAAAGCATGAATGGGAACACTGAGCTTCATGATAGTCATTCATGATTGGCCCCTAGCCTGGATGGTCCCTGAGTTCAGCTACGTGACCAGGATTCTGTCAGTGAAGGCATTATATGTGACATCTTTTCCAGAAAGTTAGATCAGAAGAGAACTAAAGTCCTTTGCCCCGTGTGAGGTTCCTCTTAATATTCCCCTCCGTCTCTGTCTGACATTCTCTCACCCCCCACCGCCCACATGCTCACTTTGTGCTGTCAAAAATAGCTGGGTTCCTTGAACAGCTTCTAAAAGCTCAACAGTGATACCCTTTGCATCTGCAGAGTATTTCATAGTCTTCAAAGCGCTTCCGTACAGCTATTATCATTTGATCCTCACAAACTCTTCCAGGTATGTAGGTTAGGCCTCTTATCCTGATTTTACCAATGACAAACCAGACAACAGTAATTAGGTGACTACCTCACCCTAATACTCTTCATTACCGTGAGACTGCTCCAAAGCCAGGTTCGTAATTTCATTCATCCATCCATTTGTTCATTCTCTCTTCTAGCTACCTGTACTAAGAGGCATCTCCAGAATGGGAAAAGAAGGACTTTTAGAATCAGACAAATTTAGATATGAAACCCAACTTGCTACATGATCTTGGTCATATGTTTAACCTCCCAGATCTCTTTTCTTACTTCTAACTCAGGGAGGATTATGACTTTTGTTTTTATAGGAATCAGATAATGCATGAAAAAATTCTGTCAATCATAGTATCTGAAGCACAGTAGGTGAACTATTTGATATATAAAATGCTATATCACAGTCTCATGTAATGGTCTAATGTAGTGGTAAAATTGGCTATAGTTCATTGAATAGTTCCTGTTTATTGTATATGAAGCAGTGCTATGTCCCAAGAATGTAAATAGAAACGAGGCAAAATATTTCCTTTACGTCTATATCTTCCCTTAGATGATGATTCTGAAAGGTAGAGCTCATGTTCATGGCATCTTCAGCGTCAAAACTAATGATCGAAGCTAATGACCAAAACTGATGTCCAGTGTTGGGATATAGCACAGTTTTAGATCACTTGCTTAACATATGCAGAGTGTTGGGTTCAATTCCCACCACTGGAAGGTAGTCAATGCTTGGTATGTGGTTGCTCAGGTAAAAGGCCTGCTTGTGAGATCTCTTGTTGGGTAAGTGTACTAAACCAGTCACAAGCATTAGGTAGACCTCAGGGGCTTTGGTGAGAAGCCAAGGCAGCACTTTCCAGTTATGGGGAGGATTGTAAAATGGAGAAGAGGAGGCAAACAGCAAAGAGCCCGTGCATCCAGTCTAATGTGAGTGTGTCGGATGAAAGGAACGGCAGTATTTATCTCAGACCACACACTTTCTCTCAGCTGCCCACCAGCCCCTGCGCATGCTCAGAAACTGAGTTTGTATTCAAAGCTTTGTGTCTGCTCAGCTCATGGTCCCTCTGTCACTGCTATCTCCCATAATGTATTATTCTGTAAAGAGCTTTGCTCTATCCCAGTATAAAAGAGATGCTTGGTTAAAACCAGATCCTATTTGTTGACTGTCACCACTGGCCATTGCATACAAAGAGTATAATATATTGTGTGAGAGAAAATGGAGGAACACAAGACGTGTTTAAAGAGAGCAAATAAAAGCTTGAAATGCGAGAGCATCGGGTGCATTAAAGTTAATAGACTGCCATGGCAGAGCGGGCCATTTTTACATGTGAAAAAATCTAATTTAGGGACTCGTAACTGTAGGACTTAGAATCCCAGTGGAATGAAGTGAGCAGATAGATTCTTGCCAAATTTTAAATCTCCTGGTTCTTGTTGAAAATCAGCCCTTGGAATTGAGCAGACTTTTTATATATACATATAGTGCCCATCTCTTTGAGATACTAAATCCAACTGTCCCCCACTGAATAGCTGGTACTACTCGAGCCTCTGTATCCTATTGTCTTTCTTTAAACATTGAAAGAAGTTTCTTTAAACTCAGTCCCCAGTTGTCTAGGCTGACCATCCATAGCTCATCAGCATGAAAGTTTGGAAGCTTTGGAGTCGTTCCTCATTTCTACAGAAACAGAGAGACCAGAGAGCTGTCAGGTGTGAGCTTTGCTGGGTGTGAACCATGGAGATGCTCGTATCATTTCTTTCCGGAGAAGTGAGACAATCGATACAGGTCTCCTCTTGGCAGTGCTGGAGGATGACTATAGCAGCAAGAGTTCCAAAAGGTTTTCTGCCAAGAACTGGATTGGATTTTGTGCTTCCTCAGCCACAAAATGTCCTAGAATCTCACTCCCAAGTCACTAATGCCCTTTGTGGTCAGTCTGCTCAGCTTGAATACTTCCTGATCTTTCTTTGTTCAATACCTTCATTATCATTTTTTCTTCTTGTTAGCCAAATTCTCACATTTTCAGGTTCCTAATAATTTCTTTGAAAATTCCCCACCCCCTTTTTTTTTTGGTTAAAGAAGCAGGAGAGTATAAATTGTGTTTTCATGTTTGATAGAAAAGTAAGAGTCTCTTCTATTTCTGGGTATGATTTGTAGGCTGTTTTCTTGGAGAATACTACTGTATTAAATCTATTTGCATTCTGGCATTATAACACCATTGACCTCGGAGGATTATGTAACTGTTCTGAGATTCGTTTTCTCTATTTGAGAAATGGGAATAAAAGGTCTAATTTGTTGAATTTTCACGGGAAGCAAAGAGATTGCACGTGAGAAAAATACCTTCTAGTGCACGGTATACACTAAATGGCCATTGTACAATAAACGGCCATTTAAAACAAAGCCACACAGGCAGGACCCATTCTTCTAAGACAAGAGGTGCTTAGGGTGAGCGATGAGAGACAAAGGGAGATGACCACAGCTCACACGCTACACAATTCTGCATCTTTAATCTGCTGCATGGCGTGTGCTTTGGGGGCCTGTGTGGACATAAAAAAGGGGTGCGTTCTCGGTAGGAAGAAGGTAGTGAGTTATACACAAATATAGACCATCATTTCAGGTAGTGATGGCTACAGGCTTTTGTTGGAAACAGAATAGAACTATCTTCAAGGGTGACACTCCATGACTCCAACTATGAGTATCTGCTTGTGCCTGTACTTTGATGCATTAGAAGGTCAGGATAATGCTGCTTCTCACAGTACAGCCATCGGCCAGCCAGTGTGGGGCATACAGTGCTGTGGAGCACACGTTAGAATCAAGATCGGGTTCAAGATTAATCCACTGGGGCTAAAGAGATGGCTCAGCATTTACAAGCACTTTCTTGGTTTTGAGCACCCACGCTGGCAGCTTACAATCACTTGTAACTCCAGTTCCATGAGATTTGATGCCTCTTTTGGACTCTGAGAACACCTGCACAAATGTAATATATTCTCACAAAGACACACACACACACACACACACACACACTGGAATCTGTCTTTTAACTCTGCTTCACTTAACTCATTAAGTCTTGGGTAGGTCCTTTAACTTCATTGAACCTTTGTGTCAACAGATATAAAATGAGATGCTAATATTCCTTTTAATTTCTTTTTCCTCCTGGGTGATTGTAAAGATCAATTAAAATTAAGTGCCCATGTGTTGCTTCTCTGATTTAGTGTTAAGAGATAGATTCTGAAAGAGAAACACAGAAGTAGTTTCTTGGCGATCACTCTCTGAGAGGCACAGGCAACAAGAACACGGGGTCTCCATGCCTGGAGTTTGCCAGATTCATCTTTATCCAGGCCGTGTTTTGTGGCCAGCCTCTACTGAGCCCCCTTTTGCAGCTCATTTGGCCTAATCTTTGCCAAGGGCAGCCCAAGGAGGGTTATAGCTAGAGTGCAGGGGGTCAGGCAACAGCGAGCCCCCTCCTGCTGTCTCCAGTGTGTGTGTTTGGCTGGCTCACAGTTCCCAGCATATCCTCGCCTGCTTTATCTCTGTCTGTTGGCTGCACATTTGTCTTGGTCAAAGATTTATTAGGCTCTTGAAATTTTCTTTTTCTCTCATCATTCCTCCGAACGTCAGAATTAAGAGCCTGGGTTAGTGGGGGGGATAAACTGAGTTTCATGACCAGCAGACGGAGATAAGGTTCTTGACTCTCTGGCATTCAGACACTTCAAGGATGTGTTCCAAAACGAGGGTCACATTTTAAATAATTTTCTCCCTTCTCTTTTCAGAGAGTCGACGAGCTGAAGATGAAGCCCAGCGCAGAGTGCTGTTCTCCCAAGTTCTGGTTGGTGTTGGCCGTCTTGGCCGTATCAGGCAGCAAAGCTCGTTCCCAAAAGAGCCCTCCCAGCATCGGCATCGCCGTCATCCTCGTGGGCACTTCAGACGAAGTGGCCATAAAAGATGCCCACGAGAAAGATGATTTTCATCATCTCTCAGTAGTTCCCCGGGTGGAGCTGGTAGCCATGAACGAAACTGACCCAAAGAGCATCATCACCCGTATCTGCGATCTTATGTCTGACCGGAAGATCCAGGGGGTGGTGTTCGCCGATGACACTGACCAGGAAGCCATCGCCCAGATCCTCGATTTCATTTCTGCTCAGACTCTCACCCCCATCCTGGGCATCCATGGGGGCTCATCTATGATAATGGCAGATAAGGTAAAAAAAGGAGGCTATTCCAAGGAGCAAATGATGTGTTGTTTTTTTAAGGCAAAACTAAATAGTTAAAGATAGAAGTGTACCAGTGCACATCGGGGAGTAAGCGAATAGAAGGGAACCAGGCAGATAGTTAGGAGATGAAAGTGAAAACCCGATAGTAGTGTAGAAGGGTCGACAATAATGGTCCTCACCCTGTGGGTCACGACCCCTCCGGGCATTGAATGACCTTTTCACAAGGGTCACCCAAGAGCTTTGGAGAACACAGATATTTACGTTATGATTTATTACAGCTGCAAAATTGTTGCTATGAAGTAGTCATGAAAATGATTTTATGGTTGGGGTGGTCACCACAACATGAGGAACTGTATTAAATGGTCTTAGCATTGGGAAGTTTGAGAATCAATTGTCCAAAGTTTAGGACAGGTTTGTGTGTCTGCCTGTGACTTAGCGATATTAAACTCGGAGTCTTGGTAGATTGCCTTTTTCCAAATAGGTATGTGAGTAGAGCCTTCAACACTATAAAGTATCCTCTGTCCTATCATGATAGATATGCTCTTCTCCACAATGGTCACGCGATTTTAAAAAGAAAAATGCCCTAAGACAGGCAGTTGCTATCCACAAAAACTCAAATGTTTATAGGAATAGAAAGGTATCTACTGACATCTCAGGATTTGCACATTCAAACAGATATTCACCCCCTCCCCCACGCACACAGGACAGCCATGTTTTCCCCATTATTAGATTTGAAGATTTTTAGCTGTGGTTTCACACAGGAGTCACTGGAGGTGACTCCAAATGTCGTGGTGTCTTGTTCCATCACAGCCTGAGATTCTGGGATCTGAAAACCACCTCGAGTGAGTCCAGAGTGCAGTTAAGCTGAGGACATCGCTTTGAAGCTTGAGAAAAGAAATGACCAAATTCACATTAGATTCGATGACAAATGACAGACAGAATCTCTCTTGACATTACCATCGCGTCTGAAATCACAGAAAAATATTCCACTTGGATTTTTACACCACTGCTAGTTACTCAGTTATGTTTCCTTACTGATAGGTGTTCTTTCAGCTGTTTCTGTCTTAGAGTGAGTCACACACCCCATCCCCCATGATATGAGCATCATTAGCCACTTTTAGTATCATCTCCACCATAGTACCACCATTTATGCTCGTTGTCTCCAATTTCAGAACTGCCTTTAGGCTTCTGTCTAATGGGCATGCTCTGTGGTCAAAGATGTTTGCAAATACCCTAAGCCTTGCCTCGCCACCACAAGCATGTTGCTCGACCCTATGAGAACCACCACCCCAAATTTAGCAGAGAATAACCCCTTGTGACCAGTGTCGCCATCTGTTGGTACCAGGGGAGATGACTGCTCCTTCTTCCTCCCATAGTTCAGTCTAGGGAAGGCTGGACTGAAAGCAGCAGATGGAGAAGCTTTAGTATCAGGTGTGAGGATGTTCTTGTGTTCATGTGGACACCTAAATGAACGTTAAAAACAGATGCTGGCAGGAGTCGCTCATGCCAGGAAGTAGGACGGACTCAAATACAAAGGAGAAGGAACTGACTGTGGCAAAACCCACTGAGTGTTTGCTTTGGGTAGACATCATTTTTAAAAGATCGTGGTCCTTGGTGAATTACGTTTTATTTCACGCGTGGTATTCTAAGGATGCGATATTGCATTGGAAGAATGGAGACATGATTAAGCCAAATTTTGAGATCATAAGTAAGCGTGTGCTCCTTTCCAGACTACGACAGATGAGAATAATTTCCTTGCTGTTGCTCATCTGAATTATTGCAAACCTATGTTATTTCCCTCGAGCGTGGAGCTTGCACATAAGCTGATTGGTTGCATCCCCCTGGTACCCCTTGCAGACTCTCAACATGCATATAAAACTGTGAGCTGAGGTGCATCCTGGGTGGAGGCTGGGCTTTCGTGTGCTCCCTGGTGCATGCTGGGTGTTGTGTGAGTGTTCACCGTATGCTAGGCAGTCAGACTGCCCATGCATCGTTTTATTTAATACCACTGAGCTAAGTGGAAATACATCTCTTTTAGATGGAAAACCAAGGTTCAAAGAGATTACAGAGCACATTTAAGCTGATACTGTAGGGACAGGAAGCCACACTTTAGCTCTATGACCTGTTACCCCTAAGGAAAGAGGCTAGTGGGGGCTTCATAAACCTTCTTAATTGCTCCTTTCTTCTTTGTCCTATGGCGTTGTGGGAAATGTCATGGTAGTCTAGCACTCCATTCAATGTCGGGCAATGCAGAAGGCTCATTGCAGGAGGGAATGAAGAACGAACCAGGGCAGCACAGTTCTACAGAGAATGTGCTCGCTACTGCCTCCTAGAGGTAACAGGCAGAATTGATCTGGTAGTGTGGATCTCAAACGTCTCTATCATGAAATCTACCCCATAGATCTATCTTCCTCCTATCCTTGTTGTTACCTTATCCAAAAACCCCATCTGACCTGTACTCCCCCACCCCCATCAGTAAGAGGAGATGAACAGTGACTATTTTGGAAGAAGTCCTAACATAAAGTGAATAATGTCTAATTGAGTTTTAGTCCAAAGTCAGAAAGAGGAAGAAGGAAGAAGATCCAGGTAGACAGAGAGATGGATGCTTGATCATGAGGGCAGGGGATAAAATTGATGGTGGCCCCAGGAGTGGTGTCACAGGGCCAGAGGCACTTGAGAGGACAGAAGTGATTCTCAGGCTGTGCCGAAGAATATGCACAGGCTTGGAGGATCTCCGTGAAATCAAACAAAGAGCCCTTCAGGTCACAGTGAGAGAAGTTTTGACTTCAAAGTCTGAGGTCAGATGTGTTTGGCTTTAAATCGAAGCATCCACTCAGTTGCCATGGTTGCATACTGTCCATGTAGAATGGGGACCTGTGCTTTGACAGCTGTGACCTATGGTTGGGTAACAGGATAACACATTTCAAAATGGAACTGATGAGGGAACTCTGGACTACCTAGTGTCTGTGGCTGAAACTTAGTAACCAACGGAACCTGTTTCATCTGCCCCTCTGAGTCCATTGTTTTCTTTTCATTGGATAGAATTTAGGAGCTCACTTCCTGTATTTGTGGAGCTTTTGGTGCCTAAAAGACACCACTGTTATAAGGATTTCCGATGACCACTGTTATAAGACACACACAGATCTGGTCAAATGGTGTGCAGTCATGTTTGCATACACAGACGGGTCAGTCAAAGCACCAGTGTTCTGCTCTCAGTGAGGTAAATGCACGTTATACTCTGGGGGAAAGAAGCACAGGAGACAGTGTAGCATAGCTGCTGACAACTCAGAAGCTGAAGTTGGAGAGGCAGCACTTCCTGGATGTGAGATTCTGGTTTACTCACTAGCTTATTATGGTTGACCTTAGTTCCCTGGCTGCACAGTGGGAGGAAAGCATCGATTTGTGAGGGATTGAGGATTAAATGAGATATGTGGCCTCTAACTTGCTAAGAGCCTGGATAACACTGACAAAGAAAAACCAGGAGAGAAATCCAGGAGAGAGCTCTGAGGAAGAATGCTGAAGAAGAGCGCTAATGATACCTTGTCCTATCCAGGAAGTTGAGATTCATTAGAGTTTAGAAGTCTGCCATGGCCAAAAAGGGTACACCCATGACAGAAAAAGCTCTCTCTAGCTACTGAAGAACTTACAGCAGAAAACTGTTCGGAGTAGTAACGAGGAATGTTTAAAAATGTATGAGGTGCTTCTTGGCAGTCCCCAACCTGAGAATGAATAACGTATTTTATTTTGTGTTGTTATAATTGCTTTATTCTTACTGAGATGCTGGATTTAGGATGCCGATCTGGAATCAGGCTAGAAGCATTTCCATCCCTTTCCAGGAGCTTTCACGATTGATTGGGTCCTCACATTTTTAGCTTAGAAATGTTAAGTAACCAGTCCAGAACATCATAGCTCCCAGTTAGCAGTGAACTGGGATTCAACTCCTAGAAACACATGTTTGGAAACCCATGCTTTTCTGTGTACAATTTTGTTTCATAAGAAACAGAATTAAGAATTATAAGTCACACATTTCAATCTCCATTCCGATGAGTTTGGGAAATGTAGCCAATCATGGCTTAAGTGACACGAGCCTCAGTAGATGGTTTGTAAGATGTAAATTGGGTTCCTTCTACCAATTTACATCGTTTGGAAGGAAAAAGAAAATATGGTAAAAATGTTGGAATGGCACCGAGCAAACAGACGCTCAATAAGGAACACCGGAGTCCCTGAAAATCATTCTGTCTCTGGCATCAGTGACACTCGGAAGTGGCTTGGGCAGGGTGTAGGACACAAAACAGAAGGATGGAGATTGTAGCAGGATCAGGGAAGACGGCGTGAGATCAGAGTTCTGCAGCTCCGGTCAGTAGGAGAGTGAAGGGTGCACTGAGTGCAAGTCGGGGTTCAGGGCGGAGCGGTTGATCAGAGTGAAAGACTGAGGCCAAAATGCGCACCTGTGCCTTTCTCCTCTCTGAAGGCTGTGCGCATGCTCACTGCGCGCTCTATGGCTCTGGTCTCTCCTTCCTAAAGGATCTGATTGTGCAGTGATGCTCCAAAGGTTGTTTTCAGGTTTTACTGTTTTCTGGTTTTTAATTTTTGTCGTCATTTTGATTTTTGTGCAGAAAGCCATTTTGGAAAGTAACAGGATGGTGACCTCTGTTTCTGTGCTCTCTCTCAGTCTCTCTGTCTCTCTGTCTCTCTCTCTCTCTCTACACACACACACACACACACACACACACACACACACACACACACACACATGCACAGTTCATTATCCTCTTTAGCCTGTGATTTTTGCCTTTCTTTTTTTTCTATTTTCTCATGTGGCTTTCTTTAGCTAGCACCGCATTTAAGCCAGGATAACTATATGTTGTATGTACCTTTGCCCAGTGACTTCTCTGAAGTTTCTGAAGTGCTGTGGGTTTTGGTTGCCTGGAACACGACATTTTAGGAGCAAACTGACATTGGTGTAAGATGTCGGGGTAAAACAGATG